TTTATAGCAAAAAGTAAAACTATTGATATTTGTCACAACATTTTTTACAATTAGTTTTCTAAATTTTTCTAATTAAAATAATATTTATATATCAAATAAAATTTATTATTTTAGTATTAAAATTTAAACACAATTTAAGAAGTATCTCAAATTTTAAATCATAAAATAAAACATCATAATATTATGATTTATTTAAATAGTATTATATTAAATATTTTATTAAATTTTCATATCTCATTAATTTTTATTTGTCTCTTTTAAATTTAAAACACAATTTGAGAAGTATCTCATTAAATTTTAAATCGTAAAAATAAAATATCATAAGATTATATGTTGATGACAGAAGAAGAAGGAGTGTCGATGAAAACGATTCGCTTTGGGTTTGGCATCTAAACGCTGCGTTTTAAACCTTTTACTGAACTCCGCAAAGACGCAAATGATGATGTTTTTCTAGGTTTCAAATTTACGGTTAGATCCAGATACTTTTTATGTTTTCTATTTTACACCCTGTTACGAAGACTGTACATGTTGTAATATCACAAAAATACCAACGAATTACACAAAAATACCAACGACAAAGTTGATAATATTATTGAAAATTATTCAGTAATACTTGCCGAGAGATCACAGAGTTACACACTAAGGACTTGCCGAGAGATCCATCCAGATTCAAGAAGCAGCTACAAATTTGTCCCAAGTACCGTATTTTGAGCTGAATGTTCCACCACCAAATTGCTGTGCGTACTCACAGATCACAGCTCGAGCACAAGCGTCCCATGTCTTGGCTATGTCTTTAAGCGACATTGGCTGTGACAAACTCCTTAGTAATATGTTGAACCTTGCCATAGCTTTGGACGAGAGGTCCTCGTTCTCTTTGCTGTTCAAGAAACCAGACCATGTTTTAAGGTGACAAGATGATGCAGTTTCTTATAGAGGGTTTCTAGAGACATGAGCCAGATGATTTTGGACAAGGTAGAACCTTGCCATAGCTATAGATAGTAAGATGATGATCCGATTTCTTATATGGTAGAAGTTTACTCGGATCTATGGTTTTATTTATTTGAGACTGAAGGAACTTTGCCTGTACCTGGTTTCGACCGGGAGTTTATCCAGAAGAGATGGAGAGCCGTTTGGGTAGCTACAAGGAACCAGCAGACGCAACGGTTGAATAGGAGACTGTTATATAAGCAAAAAACATGTGTTTAAAACGGCATGATATGATTTTTTTTCTTTCCACAAAAAGTTAACGATAAGACAATGCTTACCATCTGTGTTGATGAGAGATGAGCCTTCAAGGCTGGGCTGAGGGAAACAGCTATAAACGAGAATCTAACTGTTGTTCCTTCACACACTTTGCTTGCTGTTGCTCCCTCACTAGGATCAGCAGCATCTTCATCATCACTAATCTCAACAACTGTATCTATCAGCCGCTGGTTTATTCCCTTGATTTCCTCCAAAAGGGCATGCTCAGTCTGCAGTCCAAGATTGAGTCTTCCAAATTAAGAAAAGCTAAACCTTGTGCTTCTGAATCTTCTTTGTTATATATGTGTGTGTGTCTCAATTTTTAAATATATCTAAGGGAAGTCTAACTGAAAAGCCATACCTCAGTTCTTGCCTTCTTGCCATCAGAAGTCGCAGTAGATTCCAGATCTGATGTTTCTGAACCCGCAAACTGCTTGTAGTTATCACCAACGCTTCCTCCTAACGAAGCAACGCTTAACGGCATTGCAGTTGTGTGACGCTTCATTTTCTTGGTCGCCATCATTCCCTCCTGCGTCATGAAGTTTCTTGCTTGGAGACGGCACTTAGTCATTGCAACCAAGTCCTCGCCAACAGAAGCTCTTGAACCGTTTCCTGGGGCTGAACCAGCTATCCTATCAACCATGCTTACAACAGATCCAATGTCACTTACTGCAGAAGAAAGCGCTTGTGGTGAGATGGACTTCACCTGAAAACAACAGAAAGCATACATCATGATCAGACCAATGTTTCTACTACAAAAGACTGGGGATGCAGCAGTAACATCGTCCTGTTGCAATATACCCTTTAAAATTAGTAATGTTACTTACTGCTCTAATAAGGCGTTCAATAGGAAGCTCAGTTGCACTCGGTTTTCCAGATGTAATTGTCAAAGGATTTAAATTATTTCCATCAGGACTAGTAAACTCCTGAAGGAGAGGAGAGGCAGAGATCCCTGGAGTGCCAATTGCAAGAGATTGAACTACACCTTGCATGCCAGTTGCTTGTTGGCGTGCAATATTTCCCATTGACAACGAAGAAGGTTTCTCAGAGTCAACTTGCATAGGGGATGGAGCCAAGGGGGTTGCAGGAGATGGGACAACAAAAGGGGAGTTTGTAGATTGCAATGGAGTTCCCATCTTGTTGACAGATGGCAGATTTTTCTGGTCGATCAGAGGAGACATATGCTGTTGTGACATCTGGGGAGATGCACCTTGCAGAAGTTGAGGTGACGAAACCGAAAGCTGGGATCCTGGTTTTAACTGTTGGAGAGGGTAAGTAGCACGCTGACCCTGCAGAGAATGTTGCTGTAACATTCCACGGCTGGCATTCATCCCCTGCCTTGCTGTCAAATCATTCATATCATTCAT